GTACTCTGGAAGGAAAACCTCATTTTGTATGTTGTAATGATGTACAGTGAATGAATGTAAAAAATATAAATAAATAAATATTTTTAAAAACTGTAAATGGTTTGTTATTATTTCTGTGAATTATGCTGTACATGTATAGGAATCATGTAAGTTCCAGAAACTACATAGAAGTTACATGGAGGGTTACAAAAGTGTTTATTTATTTACTTTTAGAGGTTTTTGCCTTAGGGCTTGTGCACATGCCAGAGAGAGAGAGAGAGACAGACAGAAGGAAAGTGAGAAGCCATCCCCCAGATGGGATGACTGCGTTGCAATCCCTCTCCTCCCTTCTTCTCCTGGGATCTGGGTATGCATACACACACACCCAGTGTGTGTGTGTGTGTGTGTGTGTGTGTGTGTGTGTGTTTTGAAGAAGTTTTTGCTATAGGGCACGTGCCCTCGCCAGACAGACCGAGAGAGACAGAGAGACAGAAAGCGAGAAATCACCCCACAGGGAGGATGGCCACGCTGCAATCCCTTTTCCTTCATTCTCCTCTCAGGATCTTGGGCACGCACGCACACGCACCCGGCGTGAGTTTTAAGCCACCGGGTCCAGGACGCGAACCACAGTTGACTACATGGGAGTCCAGCGACATAGCCATTATGCTAACTGCTGATCCCCACACCCAGTGTGTTTTAAGCCACCGGATCCGGGACTCAAACCACATTCGGCCATGTGGGAGCCCAGCAAAGTAATGGCTATGCCATCTGCTGGTCCCACAAAAGTTTAAATTGCATTGAAAGAAGACAAGTTATTCTAGGAAAGGAAAGGACTAGAAAAAGGAAGACAAAAACAAACCACTGAAACAAAGAATCCATTGAATTAAGTGAATAATCTTCAAATCTACCACATAAATCAATGACTACACTCCAGAGCTGTTCCTGCCCCACTGGAACCCAGAAACTCACTCTGTACACACACGTACCCTGTATCTCTAAGCCATCTCTTTCCCATTAGGTCAGGCTTCTGCTGCAAAACCTTCCATAATTCTCTACAGGATAAAGTTCACATTCCCAGCCTCGGTTTACAGCCCTCTACACTCTGACCTTTCCATCCATCCCCCATCTACTCTCTGAAATGGAATCCCCATCCCAGGCAAACTAGGCTCCTTCCTCTTACCCCAAACACTGCAGATGTTCTGGTTTCTTCTAAACTATTTCCAATTTGACAAGATTCTAGTCCTTGCTTAAACACCCTGGCTAGTTCCAAATCTTCCACTCTCACAACAAACTCTCCTTACTGGCAAAGTATTATACTTACTTAGCATTAAGTTAACCTTTATATATGTATGCCTTCATTTCCTCAAAACTTTGGCACAGGGCAGACAGTTCAAAAAATATTTTCCTTAAGTTTAGGTGAATTCAAGTACAAGACAATAAACCTAAGGGCAAGGACCTCTTCCCTATTGCCTCTTTGTATCCAAATGAAGTAATAAGGTGTAGGTGCTAAATACTCGCTGATTGCTACACAATAGAATTCAGCAGGAAGCCTGTGGGTGCTGTAGGCTCAACTTTGTTTTGTTTTGTTTTAGTTAGGCACAGGAGAGAGAGTAATGGAGAAATCACCCCTCAAGAGGACTGCCATGCTACAATCCCTTCTCCTCCATTCTCACTTGGGCATCCCGCGCGTGCTCACACACACATACACATGTGCCTGGCACATTTTTCAAGCCACCAGTCCAGGACTCAAACCTCACAGTAGGCCATGTGGGATCCAGCCACCTTAATTTTCATGCCAGTAGAAAGCTGGCCCTCCAGCTTCTTTAAATATTTATGGAAGATTTTAAAACATCAAGATTTCAAAATTACATAAATCCAACAAATATTTAATGCTTGCAGAAAGCATCTCACAGGACAATTAAAAATAGAAATCCCTTAAACACACAATTCTGAAAATATGCAAAAGGCCAGGATTTTTGTTTTTTTGCAAAAACAAAGTGTGCAAAGCATCTGGAAATATAAACTATCTGACCTAGCTGCTTGTTGCTCTTTCTGCAGATTCTCTGCCTACTGTCCTCCTTCGACACTTCTGATTCTCCCATGTTCTAGAAAGGCTCAACGGTTTAGGTGACCCAAACTGTAATTTCAAATGACCACGTGGAACCAGGTGCTTCAGAACCTTACTAGCGCCTCTAAGAAGTAGGGCAAGTGAAACTGAATACATGGGGGCCAACAGGTGGCGTGGCGGTTAAGGCACTAGACTTGCATATGGCTGATCACTTGCTCTTTCGCTTGCTTGCTCGCTCTCGCTCTCTCTCTTGCTCACTCTCTATCTCTCTCTAGCTCACCTGCACTCACACGTTCTCTCTCGTCAAATTTTTAAATAATAAAAATAAATCTTAAAGAGAGAGAGAAAAACTAAACACTGTATCTATATATAAACATTAAGTGAACTCCCCAACTCTCAGGTAAGAAGTCCCTAACAGTAAAGAGGAACCGGGCAGAGCCTTCCTGACGTAAGACTAGTGCTCTTAGTCTTCCCTAGAATCTAGAAGTAAACTTCATGGAGCAAGTAGAAAAAAAGCCAGAGTCCTACCTTGCCAAAAGCATATGAGCTAATGCTGTTTTGTTATCTTCTGGGGTAGAATTTAACAGCACACAGCTAGGGGGAAAAAAGACACTTGCCAGTTGCTCTCTTAAGCACAATTACGAATTATGTTTCTTATAGTAAAGGACAAGAATTACCAATTCACAGATTCACATCAGACTGCATGCTGGGGAGGCTGGAGGACAGCTGGCCCCCCAGGTGCAGTGGCTGCTGCTGGAACACCAGGCCGGAGTCTCGCTGGCAGAGAGGCGAATATGCAGTCACATAAATAGCTTTCTGCCAGCCGCCAAACTGGCTGTGCCATCTGCCTCTCTCCACAGCCCTCTAGCTCCTGTGAGACAAGAAGGTAGAATCCCCACCCACAGCCCCCAGCCCTGACGCTGGCAAGGTCCAGCCACAGAGTGAGTCCTCACCCTCCTGTTGGCTATACCCTCCTCTGTCTTCTGCTCTATCCCTCCCCCTTTCTGCACTCACCTCTCCTAAATACAGTCCCCCTTCCCACCATACCAAGAGCCATTAACCAGGTAAACCCAAGGCCTCACAGGTCCCACACAAAGTGCTTTCCAATCCCGATTTTGCAACAACAAAGAGGTCACAGGACCAAGAGGCACCTTGGAGACCATCCAGAGAAGTTGACTGACTTGCCTCCGAAATTACAGGGACAGCTCACTAAACTCTTCCTATTAAAATGTACTTCAACTCCCTCATTAAATACATATTTACTGGTGCCAACCACGATGCTGGGTACAGGAAACTGTAAATTCAGTGGGCTTTCATTCTCCTGCATGCAAAGTTGGGGTGGGAGGAGTGACACCGAGGGTTTTTCCTGGAGGTGGTGTCTACAAACTAGTGCATGAGGGACAAGCCCCCAAGGCTGTGAGGGAGGAGCTGAAAACCGGGTACGTGATCCTGGCCCTAACAGCACAGACCCGGAGGCCAGATGCTCCCAGAGTCCCTGCCAGCTGAGTCCCTGCTACTCTTTAGAATGGAGGGGAAGGCGGGGAGGGCACTCAGCCATCCTCGGGGGCTCTGGATCCCAGTGTGGTCGGGCAGCCCAGCTCGGCTCTGAAGCTAATTCCGTCCCTTTTCCAGCAGCACCGCGGACTTGGCACGGATTTGAGCCCACCTTCCTCCTAGAGGACTTAGCCACACTGCACTAGTCTCTCCTATTTCTCCCAAAGTTCTCAGAAGACAAGCAAGCTCAGAGAAGGAAGGCATCACGCCAGGCCAGGGTGGAATTCCCTGCGCGCGGGCGGTGCCTGCCGGAGTCACAAGGCAGACTGTGCGCTCGCCCTGGCAAACCCCAATCTTTGAACCGAACTCGGCACAGAGGGAAGGAATGTGAGGAAGGTGGACTTTCTGCTTAGGCACAGTGAAGGACCGGGGCGAGAAGGTCGGCAACCATCGGAGGAGAACGTGCCGCCGAAGGGATTCCTGCT